TTTTTTTTGTCTTGTTTTGATATGTTTTGTTCCATATTGCGGCTTTGGGTTTCATTTATTTATCAAACGATATATTTATATTAGAGGAGTAAAAAGAGGAAGAGTAAAAACGTATTGAGTAATCTCATGAGTCATTTATTTATCGAACGATATATTTCTTTTATTCTTTGGTGTGGTTGGACCCAAGCTGTCAATGTCTTTTGTGACTTTTATATTGTCATCCATCTAACATATCATTTTTTCCATAAACAAATGCTTTTGTGGTAGTAAACACAATAAGAAATGAATGGAAATAAAAGAGAACTCGAAAAATGGACGAAGACATGTGCCAATAATTATCACTTAGCAGCAATAATTCATCACTGAGATCATCACTGAGACTGAGTGACCTATAGATTGCATCAGCGTAAATTCCAAAAAATGGAAGACTGCATCTTCTTGACCAATTCCATTGATAATAACAGTTTACGTATTTTTGGAGAAGTTTTGTAGGGTCAGCGGTAGTGAGTTCTTGGCTGTTCAAGATTTCGTTAGTCATCATTGAGATATACCATCAAGTATAAATGAAATTTTCGCGATTTTATTTTTCAGTACATTGCTTTCATTAATTCGGAAAATTAAGAAGGTGTATTAATGGGGACGTCAGCAAATGATTAAAATTTTATGCTTAAATGTAATATTATGGTTAAAGGTTACAATGATAAGTTGATAAAGTACCCTGCGACATTTGTCGAGACCGGTAAAAAATGAGTAACGATGTTCTTTCGTTTATGCCAATTTATTCAACTGAAATAACTAGAAAGTCTAATTGCTTAATGGGAGTGGACTTTGAATAGTCTGGTGCCCTCATTGATTATAGCTGGACCTGGTCCAGCTTTTAAGGTCTTCAGAACAATAGTTCAGCTGAAGTTCATAAGTATATATATATGTTTCTGAAATCAATCTCTAATCAGGCTATCCAGATAAAGATCAGATAAAGCGTATAATAGCCAAAATAAGGCTGTAGAATGATCTACATATGGAGAAAGAAAATAAGATAATAATTAATTGTCAGCTAGCAACAGTCAGTTGTCAATCAGGAGCTATAGGTTGATTCGGTATGAATTCCGGAAAATGAGGCTGTTCGTTGGATATCAAGCGTTTGTTGTCGTCGATGTGCAATAATTCCATAACATACTATTATTGTCACGGTCGGCATTAAACCTAGCGCGATGAATGATATAATGAGAAAAAATAACTGTGGACAAGTAGATCCTAAGTTTGTTGATAATTTTGTACTCGGATTTGAATCTGAAATTTTGAACATTTCAATTTCTCTTTTTCTCTTCAACCAACCAATTAATGATAACATCAGTAATAACACCGATGGTATTACTGTGGTGCCATTATTACACTAGTTATCGATAGTAAATTGTTTTAAACAGTAAGTAAAAACGAATAAGAAACAAAAGTATTAAGTAAGTGCGCACTATCATACATATGTTTTATAAGTTAATAAATAGGTTTCCATGTGTTACTGCTGTTTTGATATATTATTGCTCATTAAATTTCCTCATCCTTTTAACTCCCAGTAACAAACTAAAATAGATTTAACTTTTGAAAATTTAAATGATGAACTGCAGTACAAAAATATTGAATTGTTGTACCCCGTTGAATTGTTTATTTTCATTTTCCAAATATAATTCAATTTATTAAGTTTTTGTCATTTTTTTTATTTACTAAATTGTCATATAACATACGGTATTTGTCAGCGAATATTCGTGCTGGTGGTCTCATTTCCAAAACTGTGAGTAATTTCACTGCTTTTACTTTTGTTTCACGGCGAAATCGTATTGCTGATTTGACTGTCTTTATTGTTTTAACTGTTGTCATTGTTGCTGATGTTGTAGTTGTTATTCTTCTTGTTGTTGACAATGCTAATGTTGTCTCTTTTATCACTGTTTTGTCTGCTTCACATTGCTACAAAATTAAAAAAAAAGAAAAAGAGATGACGTTCTTTAACTATACTTATTAAATTCCGCCATTACAATAAAGGAAGTATTCGAGTATGCCATCTAATCAACCTAAATAACTAACAATTATTTTGTATTAATGAAATTGTAATACGATAATAGTAAAAGGCGAAGTTACATTCCACAAATATTTTAAATATACAGAAAAAAATTTTCCAACTGAAACTTTTGAACTATTAACTTTTATATTTTAGCTTCTAATTTTTGTCTTTGTTCCCTCATGGTAACAAACTTAATTTCATCCTAAGCAATTCCGAGATATTCAAGGTATAAAAATAACCTGTCGTTCACATGAGCGTATGCATGGCCTTGCTTGACATTCAAAATAAACAAATTGTGATGTTGTAAATTGAAAACCGTACATGTAAATGTAAACATGCTTTGGATTACCATTACTGGGAGATGTCATATAAACTGGTAGCTCAATTGCTCGTGGTAATCCTATCCCACATCTATAAGTTTAAAAACAAAAATAAAAAACTGATTAACTTATTAAAAACGAAAAAAATGGTAGATTTAATATTAATGGATAGATAAAAAAGAAAAGAATTACAAAACAATAAAAAGGTCAGAGGTTACATGCACTGATTAAATAAAGTCATGTTTTTCTCACTTTTGTAACTAAAACACATCTATAAGCTTAAAAATAAAGACTAAAAAAGCGATCAAAATTTAGAAAAAGATTACCAAATGATAGTGATAAATGCCAAAAGTTAATTAATTGTTTAAACTCCCTTGCTTCTTTCCAATCTCTAATTAGAGAAAATGATAAGAAAATGATAAGGGCTTACCCATTTGCATCAATAATTTGCACCAATGCATCCGGATTATTGCTACCATCGTGAGCCACACATGAATGTGCATAAAAATCATAAATTTCTGTAATTATAATTTCACTTTCAAAAAAAAAACAAAGAGATTCTTAAATTTATGAATAATTTTTGAAAATCTTTTCTTGTTAAAAGTTATTTTGAAATTTTAATAGTGATTAATGCTTGTTCAAAATTAATAAATTGATCAAGGATGATTACTCTATCACAGGTAGAAAAGGGGATTTTTTTTATTCTTCTAGGAATAAAAAATGAAAAAAATTTGGCAACAAATGGTCAGTGCTATTTACAGTTAATAATTACTTAGTTTCACCACTTTGAAGTAAAATGTATGACCATTTGAGATCTAAAATGGAATGTAAAAACAAATTCCAATGTTTTGGCAACACTGAATCTGAGATTTAAAACTTAGGTTCAGATAGAAAAGCCAATTATGCTCTGTTATTGTTATTACTAATATCCTTAATTAATAGTAGGAAATAAAGTTTGGTAAATATAAAATGAATTTTAGCAGCGACAAACGCATTTTAGATTTCTTGTTTTATTAAAACTTAATTGGTAATTTGTAAATTAGTGATTAATTTTAGTTAGGAATTTGATAAAATGTAATTCCCATATTAAAAATATTTGAAATTGTGAACAAACCTGTATTTTCAAGGACAATATTAAGTGTTAACGGTTGTCCAACGCTAGCATGTGTGACAGCGCCACCGATAATACCATGTCCATCAAGAATTTGAATTTGTAATGATGGTATGCCACCGGTTCCGGTTACAATGCCAGTTTGTTCTTCCATTCCACTAAAATTTTTGTACAATTTTCTTTTATTAAATTTTTTGTTTTTTCAAATCTAACATGCAAAAATTTGCGGAAAATGATTTGCATCGTATACTTAAATAGCTAAAAAACCGTGTAGTAGCAATGGATCCAAATTCAAATTTAAAATTTAATGTTTTAAAGCTCGAAAACTTTCCCATTAAAATTGTGATTCGCTCATTTATTAAAGTACACTATTGTTTCAGATTTAATTAATAGCTTCATTCAATTTTCAACAATAACAATGAGTAAAAAAATAATTTCTTGTATGAATTTCATAAATTTTATAATTTCTAAACATCCACAGTTTATTGTCTCACTTATTTTGCTAATGTCAAGAATGATTTTAATTACTTTTTTTATATTATAATACACCACACATACAAAGATCCGATGATCTGTATAAATGGCGCAATATATTAATTAGCGCCATAATTAGTAGACCACGTGAAACTTTTTGTTTTTATGCTTAAAAAAACGAGTTTAATAATATGGAAATTTAATTTCGCGTTTTTAGATAATTATTTGAAGTTTTTTTATGCTGGGATTTTACATATTCATATCAAAATTTTTCACTTATATCTCAACTGAATATTAGCTGTTAAATTAAAATTAAATATTGGTTAAATTAAAAATATTGGTTAAATAGAATAAAATTTAATGTTAAATACATTCATTTCCGTATAATTTTTATTTATTTATTTATTTTTTCTTTTGCAATTTACATGATATATATATGATAAATATATGAGAATAAATACAAAACTATATTCGTTTTTAATCAATCATATCGTAAAATTGATAAAAGCTGTTCAATCTCACTTCATCTTTTTTCTCCACTAAACATTATAATTTTCCACTTTGATGTAATAATAATAGTAGTAATTATAATGATTCTTACAATTATAATAAAAATAATAATTATTATAACAAATTATAATATTTATAATAACAATTATAATGACAATAATAACAATTGTTATTATATATTATTTATAATATATAATAACAATAACAATAATAGCAATGTTATAATATTTATAATATACTATAATAATAATAATTATTTTTCATTATAAATAATAATTTTTCATATTATTATTTTATTATTATTATTATTATTATTATTATTATTATTATTATTATTATTATTGTTATTATT